ACCCGAAGTCGTGCCAACTGTCCAAAACCGTTTAAAAACTGACGTTGTAGTGTCAGAAACTGTCAGCCACGTCTCGGAAACCGTCAAGCCCAGCTCTTGCTACGCTGGGACTCACGCTGTTCCTTGAAGTTTCTCAGAAACGCTTAGTAATAACGGAGGAAAACCAAAACACCGATTGGCTACTCGAGAATTCTTTATTGTAACACCAATATATCCAACTTTAAAATTAAGCTTTAACTAAGGTCTGTGAACAAATATTACAATAATAAATCACAAGGTTACTTCTGATGGTTTGCTACTGACTTCTTTCTGAACAGCGACCGATGAGACGATGACTGTCGTATTGATGCCTCCGCGAAAATTGGGGAAGTTGGTTTTGAGCAAACAACCATGAATTGATCGTTCAATCTTCAACTACATTCACAGGTTATGTACCAATTTCAAATGTATAAGTGTATGCAGTGTGATTCGTGCAGGAAATGGTATCATAGCATGTGCGCAAACCTAACTGCTGCAACATACAAACGCTGCCACAAACCTCTGGCAAACTGGTTGTGCAATAACTGCTGTTATACGACTAAATTTCGAATAACAGAGGCCATCGCCACTTTCAGTGGGGCTCTGAAGCCCATGAACTGAAAGGGTCTTCCACCACAGGAGAAGACCGACTACTGCTCAAACATTTATGACGTGACTAGCATCATCGACAAAACAGTACATGCCCCCGATGCGACTCTGTTAATGAGTGAGCGCCTTTCGGCACAGAAGAGCACCCACCATATTCCAGATACTGGCCCCACGATGTAAGAACAGAACTTGTGCACTGTGGTAGAGTATAACTGTATTATGGGTAAATTCTGTTTTGATAAAGTCTCACAGTGTTATTCAGTAAACATTACTGTATAACACTGTGAGACTTTATCAAAACAAAATTTACCCATAATGGAACTGCCCCCACGATACCGGATAAGCCCTCCAGTGACAGTAACGGAAAGACTGTCACGAAGGAGAGGCGTACCAGGGGGCGAAAACCTGCTTCTCAAGTCGCCCAGGGACTGATAGATCAAGCCCCATCCACGCCGGTGAATAGCGGGCAGATAACACCTACTATGATTAGCGAGGAGAACACCGATGAATGGCGAAATGTAGTCTCTCGCAAAAAGCGAGATAAGGACAACACATCGGCTACACTGCCCGGGAAGGACAAAAAGACATTTACGCCACAGAGCAAGAAAGCCACGGCAAGCAAACCTGATCTCTCTGACAGGTCGCTCATTCCCCAAAAAATGGAAGAGTCACTGGCTTCCGATCCCAAATCCAGATTCGATCATGACCTTAGCTTGGCAAAGCCCCTCTTAGATAAGCTACTGTCAAAAACGGTATCAGGCATAACAATACACAGTGTTATAGAATCGGCCAAGAGCCCGACCCTAGGGTAAATCAGCCTGTACGTCTCCTCAAAGTCGTACGAAACTCCCAAGAAGAGAGGGATGCCATTTGTCATTGGAAGTGAACACTGAACATTCGTTCACTGGCCTTGGTCGCCATCGGTGGACAACTCAAAGGCGCGAATGATTCGATCGTGTACGAGTTCGACGAAGACGAACGAAAACGAGTAAAACTTGTACTATTCTCCACTTTAATTGCCAGAGAATATAACTTCCTTCTTACAATACTGGTGTTTTGGAGTTAAAGTCGAAGAAAGTGCATAGTAATTATCGGTTCGGAGCATCTCGGTAGCAATAGGGACTTAGGTTTAAGCTCCTTGAAACCATTAAAAGCGGCTCCCAAATTCTTAAAGGATCAGACATATATTTCCGTGCCGACTTAAGCCTAGCAGACCGTGTCAAAAGGCATCCTGTGGCCCTAGAATTAAGCGGACGACGCCGAAACGGTGAAAAGAACCTTAAGATTAAGGGTTTTCGGCTGTCCGAGTTCGCAGTTTAATGATCCTGAAACCTCTGTGGGTAGACCGGGGAAGCACCAGACTGAATTGACAGTTTGCTACACAAACGTCCGCAGCCTGTTGAACAAACGGACTGAGCTGGTTAGCATGGTAGACTCCGGAAACCTGGATGTAATCATCATCACAGAGACATGGCTCACACCCGATGTCACTGACAACGAAGTTAACCTGCCAAACTTCGAAGTGCATAGGGTGGACCGACTAAACCTCAAAGGGGTGGCGTAGTTATCTACCTCAAGAAATGCCTGGCCGTGCGTAGTATCGAAGCACTTGCTCACGAAAGTGAGTCGCGAGAACTTTTACGCTGCAGACTTTAATGCATAGGCCAAGACATTGAACTCGTTGCTATGTAATGCAGTCCTGACTGCAGTGCAGATGACTTCCTGACAGAGAAACTAGGCTCCTGGACTTCAAAATGTCAAGGTGCCGTAGCCGGCTACTTCAACGCTCCAATAGTTGACTGGACGAGTCTTACGACTCCATTTTCAGTCAACTGCTTTGATCATAAACTGCCAAAATCTAGTATATCGCTAGCCCTAGCCCAACACATCATTGAACCCACGCGCTATGACTCACAGCACCATTCCTCAACAGTGGACCTAGTGTTCTTCCACGGTGAGGACGTAGATCTCATACATCTTCCTCGTTTAGGAAGAAGTGATCATGCCGTGCTCACTTTCAAGCTCACAGCAACAGCAGCAAGGGATAAAAACCCAACTCGACCAAATGTTTGGAAAGCTCTCATAAATGCGATCGTCTTAGCAGCCAACTCAGTAAACTGGTACATCAGCCAAGAGTCCCAAGTAGAAGCCGAGTGGAACCAATTTAGAAAACTTTGCGTCCAAGTAAGTGAACCTTTTATCACTTGGTATGTCCCAAAGGGTCAGAAACATTGCCCCCTGGATAAACCGAGTGACTAGTAAGTTACTCAGACGTAAACACGAATGTTGGTACCTGTTTGCCACACTTGAGGCTCCTGAGACCAGAAAATTATCTAACACTGCTAGGAATGAAGCTAATGCAGAAATCCGCCAGTCAGCGATGAAGTTCGAAGCACATCTGGCTCAAAATGCAAAGACACAACCTGAGAAAATTTTCTCCTACATGAACCTCAGGAATAAAACATCCAATGGTGTCCCAAACATGAATATTGACAATGACACAATAGAAGATCAAGAAAAAGCAGAAGCAATGGCAGACTACTTCTCCCAAGTCTTCACGCAGGAGTCACCATTCCTTATTGGATCAGCCCTGGCTGCATCAGAGGAATACGGGATAGATTCTGTTGACATCGACCAAGGCATCGTGCCCATCTGCCTAATGAAACTAGGTGCAGAGAAATCGATGGGTGGTGATAATCTTCATCCAAGGCTTCTCAAGGAGCTGTCAGCTCACATAACTGGCGCTTTGACCACGATCTTTAAGCTATCTCTCCAAAATGGAGTGTTACCGTGTGACTGGAAAGACGCCATAGTAACCCCCATCCACAAAGGAGGATCAAGACAAGGCCCTTCAAATTACAGGCCTATCAGTCTAACCAGCACTTTAATCGAGACACTGGAAAGAATCATCAAGAAAAGCATCATGGAATATCTGGAAAACAGGAGCTTGTTACCCAGTGCACAGTATGGCTTCCGAAGAAACCTCTCATGCCTGTCAAACCTCCTCACTGCAAGAGAAAGCTGTGTTAAATCGAAGGACAACAGAAGACCAATTGACGTCGTCTTCATAGACTTCAGCAAAGCCTTCGATTAAGTTCCTCACAAAAGACTACTCAGTGTTATCAAAGGCAGCTTAATAAACTGGATTAGAGGTTCCCCATAGATAGGAGGTAGATGATCAGGATCAACTCGCAACTGTCCTCCTGTACAGCAGTGTATAGTGGAGCGCCACAAGGCATGGTACTTGGAACTCCACTGCTTATTTTTTGTATCAGTGAGTTACCTGTGCTCACGGAGTGCCTAATAGTCCTATACGCGGATGACCAATAAATTTGGGGAGAGCTGAAGGGCAACAGTAATATGATTACTTTGCAAGACCTCAACATATTGTTGGAGTGGTCCAGATAATGGATTTTCCCGATCAAGGTGGCGAAATGTGTAACCACGTGCGTTGGACACACAGGCAGCATATCCCACGAACTAGAAGGAATTAAACTCTCATCAGTTCAGACTCATTTGGATTTAGGTGTTGGAGTAGATCACCACTTCAAAACCACAGCACACTGTCGCGCGGCGGCTGCAGATAGTTTCAGATCCTTATGGTCAATTCACAGAGCCTTTACTAGAATCATCAGAAATAGGTTCACCTCCTAATGTACATCTCTGGTGAGGCCAAGACTGGAAAACTGTATCCAGGCAACCAAACCTTGTCTTGTAGGGGACTCACATGCTAGAAAGGGTTCAAAGGAAGGCGACACGTATAATTTCGACATGGCTAATTTATTATACTAGGAAAGGCTAGACAATTTAAATCTCTTCTGCCTATCGTACCGTTGGCAGAGAGGGGATTTAATCACAATGTTAAAAATTTTAAATAATTTTTTACTTTTTATTTCAGCTTGATTCCACACCATATTTTGGTACAAGTGTTTAATTTTCTGCATCTGTTATCGGTGACTCAAATTTTGCAGGCCGACCATAGATATCAGGTGTGCGTCGGCGGAGGATCGAATCCCGTACCATGTGCATGGTCGGCGAGAGTCCTAACCACTGTGCCACCGACGCACGGACCTGATTTATTTTCTATTTCCCTTCCTGTCAGGTCGGGAAATCTCCGGGGACATAGCAGGAGAGTTTAAAAGCCAAGAAGAAATCATATTGTTGTTGATTACTGGTTCTCACACCGAGTCATAAACTCATGGAACCGACTCCCAGAAGAAGTGGTGTCTGCAACCTCAACTGATTCATTCAAGTAGGGTTTGGACAACCACAGAAATTTACTAGAAAAGGATTAATATAGGCTACAAGCCTTCTATCCTCAATTAAAACATCTGAATCTGAATCTGTGCGAATTTTTAGGTGACCTTCATTGTTTTGAATCGTGGATACTACGATTAATCTAGTGTCCTCGGGTTTTGAATTTTGTGGCGCTGCCGTTTGTGAAGAAGAGCAGGGGAAGGCTGCACTGTCTTATCTGTCTGTTTTGTAAAATATGTCTACCAGTAGGAATTTCGCATTGTCAGACTTCATAAGACTGGAGAAAATTGGCGAGGGTATTTTCATTTTCCGTTATCTATGAGTATAGGTACATACGGTGTTGTGTACAAATGCAGGAACAAAGTTAATTCAAAGCTTGCGGCTCTGAAAAAAATTCGACTTGAAAATGATGAAGAAGGAGTACCATCGACTGCTATCCGTGAGATATCGCTGCTGAAGGAACTACAACATCCTAATATCGTGAGGTAATCAGCCAACTAGCGTTTTAGTGTTCTTAAGTCTAGAGCAGGTGATCATGGAGAATGGTCGGTTGTACTTAGTCTTTGAGTACTTAAATGTGGATTTGAAGCGCTATTTAGATGATACTGGGAGGAGAGTCTTACTGGAACCCGATGTTGTAAAAGTAAGGGGCTATTATTCATAACGTCTCAGAGCTTTATGTACCAAATGCTTCAAGGCTTATTGTTCTGCCACGGTAGGAGGGTAATTCATCGTGATCTAAAGCCTCAAAATATCCTTGTTGACACTGGAAGAAAGATTGTAAAACTTGCGGATTTTGGCTTGGCTCGAGCCTTTGGAATTCCTGTGCGTGTGTTGACTCATGAGGTATGTTTAATGGTTGTATCTCTAGTCACTCAATGCAACATATTTGTTACATGACGTTCTCTTAGTTGGTACAAAAAGTGTTTTCAATGTCCTACAATTATTGTGCTCAGCATCTTCAGTGGTTGAACAGACTGAGCAATAACGGCGTGTATGTTACGATTTGAAGTGTGTTGTTGAGACGATGGAAGTTCCTTATTTCAGATGACATGCACTCATCGAAAGGTGATGAAACACTATGTGATGCGGATTTTTAACTCTACTGTTTGAATTAATTACTGCATTCAGTTGCAACGTATTCACTCATGTGTTGAATATACAACTGCTGCCTGCCCAGATTCCTGATAGGTAAAATTGCCAAATTACACCATCTCTGGAGTAGACCTGATACTCAGTTATCGCAGCAGATCTCTCTGTCTTTCTCTATGACTAGGATCTGGTCGTTGAATAAGAAAGACTTGAAGAGACTAGTTTTCTATCACAGGTGTTGCATTCTCTAATGTTAAGGGATACGATATAGTAAATGATATTAGGGTTAGACTTAGTGCTAGGAAAGGAGGGCAAGTCGACTGGAGGTTGCGAAACTGCATCGATTAAGATGGCTAGGACACTTGTTAGGCATACCAAGTCACCGCGTTCGTAGTCGAGTGGTGTTAAGTGATGGAAAATCAGGCAGATCAGAACACGTACGACAGTGTAGACTGCTTTTGCTGAGTTTTCGAGATGCTAAGGGCCAGTGGTTACAGACTGGTGATGACATGGCTGAGAATCCTCAGTGTTGCAGATGCACTTACTCTTTTTGATCTCAGACTCATTAAATCTTCATTATTCTCTAAGCAATCTTTTTTTTTTTGCAACTGCACATTTCTATTTGTTAAATTCTCTTTCCTTTCTATCCTTATCTGTGCTTTTACGGAGTGTATTAACTTGAACTAATTCATTTCAGTTTAGTTTACTTCATACCCATTCAGTCTCAAATCTTGCATTATTCTTTCATTTTTACTAATTTTCTGATTTCTTGCGGCTTTGTTTGTTTGCGTTATGCTTATGCCGAAAGTACTTGACTTTCCGTCATTGGGTCCCGGGGTCGGATCCCGCTTAACCTACTTCAACCTGGGCAACTAGATAGTATCAACAGTCCTCACACAGCAAGTGTGACTGATAGCTTGGCGTATGAAATATCTGTTCCGGGAACTAAGTTCAAACGAATTGTTGTGCTTACGTATATAGTAGGTCTGCATTTTTGGTAGAAAATGCAGTTCATACAACTAGGCTAGTGGATCTAGCATTCCCATGTAGAACACTTCAGTGTTATAAAAAATAATAAAAATTGATATATCAGGTATACCAAAAGTTGTAGATAGCCATTTGTGAACTGATTTATTACTATCATAAGTTGTTAATCATAATCTTGACACTCGACATGTTGCTTTTATTACACTTTGCATGATTGTTGAGTAAAAACAGCTGACAGAACATATAACAATAGTGGAGTTTTATATTCGGTCATTCTTAGAAGGCTCCATTAACAGTCTCTGTGAGGCTGTTATACCAGAGTAAGAGGCGATCGACCAGAGTGATAGTGATTATTTATCAACTCAACTGTAGCGCGGATGCAAATGTGGGTTTCACCATCAAATAAGCGAGCTTCTGAAGCAGGCGTGTGAGAGATGTAGTAGTGCTGTCTGGGAAATTGAATGCACAGGAGCGTCTAGGCTCAGAGGAGAGTCGTCTAGGTAATCAATGGGGTTTATATGATTGCAGGTCAGACAGTGGGGACCATCTTCTGCAGCTAGTTCCAGCTAGCAACCATCACCGTAGAGCTAACTAGTATCCTCCTTCTGCCAATGAAACCTAGACTGAGATTGGTCATATTTCCACTAGTTTCCGATAGCGTAAATGCATACAGGACTGCACATGTATGGACTCCGATTATGGTTTATTGCAGTGCCAAGGTCATCTTGATTATGTTCATAAACGGTGTCCTCTGCAGGTTGATGTAGGTAAACTGGTAGCGGCTGCTACCTCTGTGAAGTACCAGACTGAGTTAAACTCAAAGCTGGTTAGCAATCCTCCAAATAATATAAATGAACATTGGCTGCATCTGCAAGATGTTATGAAAATGATGAGAAACAACTTGCAGCTTAAAAGGGATACTCTACTAAAAACCACTGGGCTTTTGCAAGTTTCTTGCAATTTCTGAATTTCTTTCGGTCCATTATGGCAGATACCGAGTATAGCAAGATGGGCAGGGTGCTCACGCGTAAGACCGAATAGTGTTTACTTAAGCACCTCAAAGTTTAGGTGTCACAATGTGCATATGAGTTGGAATCAGCGCCTGCATCTTACAACAGTCGGAAGCTGCTCCAGCTCATCCGAGCCACCCGCAACAAAAAGCATGGTGTTGGTGAGACGGTCAATGAGGTAGGTAGTACTCCTATTACCAACTCAGGAAGATGACTGGGACATTGGACAAAGGGCTTCGACAGGCAGTTTAGTTGGCCAACAGCACTACCATCCAACTTCATTTGAGCTACAGTGTCCGCTCATTTGATACCAACCCCACACCAAATGGAGCAGAGGTCTGAAAGGGACTCCAAGTGCTGAAACACTTCAAGGCACCCAACCCCAGATGACCTATTCCACCTCTTTCAAAAGTAGTGGCGAGATTCTAGTCAGGGAATTGAATGAACTGATTAGGAAAGTATGGAAAAGCGAGGGTGTTCCATCAATGTGAGTGAAGCCATTATCTTGCCCATCTTTAAAAGAGATCTATGTAATATATATATTCGTTTGTACAGCTCGAGAATGATATCGTTGGAATGCCTTTTCTGATTGCGTGAGAATTTTGATGTGACGGACGAAATTTTTAACTATACAGTAAAAGCTAGAGTGACATATTTAGTGTAGGCCACCTCTGGCATCATAATGGAGTCAGCATGGCTGTCATAAATCGGGTTTACAATGCGCACAGTTTCTCTCTATGCCTGCATAACCTGGCTCCTCTGAGCTGAGGATGTGCGGTGACTTTGTGTGTTCGACCATCAATGTCTCCATAGAACAACTGCTTGCATGCACTAGCGTCAATGTATGAGTAATTCTGAGATCAGGGAGCGTATGTTTGGATACGATGGAGGTCATTGAGCCTGGTCATGTTGAAACACCGGCTACTCTGGCTTGGATATGTTCTACGACCGTCATCCCAGAGGCTGCCACACTGTTTTCTATTCACTAGCCCTGGAACTGGATGGATAAAGCGGAGAGGTGGTTAGCCTATGATGTGGCGCTGTGGGATGAAAGATATTTGTGTTAGGTTGGCATAAGTTGGGTGTAGTCCGAGAGATAATTTGAATCGGTGGCTCGAGGCTATATTAGATATAGCCAAGGACTGCAATCATAGACGATCATGCTACAATTTCTTTCTGTCTTGCCTTTCTGAAAGTAGCATGTTGGTAATAAATGGTGAATGATCTTGACAAATGTGCTTATACTTGCTTTCTGGATAACGTCTCATCTATTCTATTCCTATTTTCATTACATTTTGTTATTTTTGGGTGGCGTATCTCTTAGTGCATGGTCATAATGCACCAAATTTATTGTTTCACGTAAGGTAGTAATAAAATTTGGGCATTGAAACTAATTTTATCTTCCTGTTTTGTTAAACAACATCAAGTTTTTGCATCAAATTTAGCGTCTGCGCTTCCTGGTTTCACGCAGTTTTGTTGATGTAATTGATTAAGTGTTTCGCTCTGATCTGAATTATTTTTATTTTTTTATGTGGTTATTTTTGATCTGTGTAGTTGAGATATATGCTTATATTTTCATACATATTTTACTATTAGGTTGTAACATTGTGGTATCGAGCTCCAGAAATCTTACTAGGAGCACAAAGGTATTCGTGTGCAGTAGATATCTGGTCAATGGGTTGCATTTTCGCTGAAGTTGCAACAAAAGAAGCTCTGTTCCGTGGTGACTCAGAAATAGACCAACTTTTCCGTATTTTCCGACTACTTGGTACCCCATCGGAGGAGGTTTGGCCAGGTGTTTCAAGTTTACCGGAATATCAAAAGAAGAACTTCCCAATGTGGCGTAATGCTAAACTACCTGCCCAAGACAATATTTCTAAAGCTTTCAACGAACCTGCTCTTGCTTTGCTTCAAGTAGGTCATTTCTCTCTCTCTCTCTCTCTCTCTCTCTCTCTCTCTCTCTTATATATATATATATATATATATATATATATATATATGGTGTTTGTCTTCTACAATAGAGAGAGTGCATTGCTACATTGTGGCGTCAATAATTGAATATGTTACCACCATTTTGCTATTAACTTACAAATTTTGCCCGATCAGAGTGAACAAAAGTAACTACAGATGATGGTGTTCTGTTGGTTAAATGACCTAGCTAACATTCTAACATTTTAAGCAGTATTGTCATTACTGTTTTGTAGAAGACTGGCGTTTGGATTTTCAATACAAACGTCAAGTCAGTCAGTTCTTCTATACGGATCAGAAACTTGGTGTGCAGGTCACAAAGAATATTTCCAACAACCTGTTGCAGACCTTTATCAACCAACAACTGTCTTCGCTCTATACTGAAGATCAGATGGCCAGCCGGAAAGAATCACCAGCAAGAAACTATGGGAACAAACAAAACAAGAACCAATCGCCCAACAAGTATGCAGGAGAAGGTGGAGATGGATTGGACACTCGTGGCTGAAGAGGCCGCTGGGTGACATCGCGCTCGCGTCAGGCCATTGCTCGAGTGGAACCCGAAAGGGAAGCGGTGAGTGGGACGTCAGTACAAGGGTGACATGGCGGAGATAGTGTGAAGAGTAGTTGAAAGAGTATAGACTAATATGGATTCAGGTGAAAAGTACAGCAGAAGGAAGACAGAAGAAAGTGGAGACGTGCAGTTGAAGCCCTATGTTCCACTAGGAACCCAAGGGAACAATAATAATAATATGTTAACCAGCCTCATAAACGAATATACAAGTTAACTGTGTTAGATTACAACTTTGTTGCTGCATCACCCAATTATAGATGAGAATTTTTAGAGAAATGTATTTCCATATTAGAAGTAATTTTAGTACATACGAGCATTTGTAAACTTCGGATCATCCTACTTATGTGTTTAATATTATTACTATTTTTTTTTCTTACCACACAGAGTTTCTTTATATCCTTTTTGGTCATACTATTTTTATTATTTGTTTCTATTTTTCTTCAGGCCATGTTAATTTATGAACCATCACGGCGTATTACAGCAAGAGAAGCTCTACTGCATCCGTATTTTTCTGACTTAGACAAATGTCTTGTACCGGCAACTGGTGAAGAGTATGTCGGTTTACCATTGGATCAGTTACCACATGAAGTTGCTGCCATGTTTCTCGCTGATGCTGGTGAAGTTTATCTTAATTCAAATGATACTGAAAATACCACCACCACCAATAATAATAATAATCCATGTCTACCATTGCAGCCTAGCACTATAGCTCAAGGTGCTGCAGCAATCCCAAAAGCGAAATATTTAATTCATCATCGGAAATCTAATGTTGAACAGGTGGATGATTCAGGGAATCCACTGAGCAATCATCATCATCATATAGCACCATTGGCAGATAATCATGAGACTAATATGTCACTTGTTTGATTTTTAATCCCTAATGTAAAATTTATTGACTGAAAGAGAAACATAATTTTTTTTTAAAATTCTGGTGCTAATTTGTTATTTTTCTCACTTCAGTCAATATTGTTAGAATGTTGAAGTGTTGTCAATACACTTTGTATATGTATGCATGTGTGTATGTATGCATGCATGTGTATACTGAATCATATAAGCTGTTCGGTACACTTCTTGTATGTTTCATTCTCAGGTATTGTTTTTCTTGGCATTAAGACTAATTTTCGCTTCATCAATTCTCTTTTTCTGATCACCGCTTCGATTTATTCTTATATATATATATATATATATATATATATATATATATCAACGGGAGAAACTTGAAAGAGGCGACTTCCTTCACTTATCTAGGAAGTATTGTTTCAACTACATGCGGAACGAATAAAGATGTTACAGCCCCAGACAGACAAGTTCATTGAAAAACTAAGATACACCTTCATCCCTATGAAATCGGTTGGGAAATCTGCATTCCGCCACTGCATAAAGAGAAAGATTCGAATTTTCAACGTGGCTCTCGTGTTACGAAATGCATTTCCAACAGGTTGCAGACTTTTGTATCAACAGTTGCCTTCTCGCTGATGACTACATATTGAGGATTAAATGGTCAGAAAGAATCAGCAACACGGAAGTGTGAGAGCAAAATAATTAAGGACCTGTCGACAGATTCTAGAACATAGGCATTCCTACTGGCGCCCAACAATCATTATATTTCTTGACCTAAAGGCGGCGGTATTCGATTCTGTCGACCGAGAGGTACTCTGGCGTAAAGGGGAATGCCGAGAAAATATATTCCACTCATTAAGGCACTATACTCGAATTCAAGCAGCCAAGTGAGGGCTTATGGCTAGTTGTCATCTGAAGTGGTGTCCGTCAGGGATGCCAATTTCTATTCAGTTTCATCATAGATGTACTAATGGACTCAACCCTAACTCAATTCAGCGACTCAGGGATTGACTTGCTACCAGGAAATAATCTCGTTGACTTAGAATATGCAGACGATATGGTCCTTCTAAGCAAGGTCGCTGACAAAATGCAGAGTCTTCTGAACACCTTGAGCTGCAATCTACGAATGTTTTTCAATCGATTCGCTCCCGCCAAATGCAAGATGATGTTACAGGACTGGACTGGACTACGCTGACTCCTAGTTTAGAAAAAGGGAGTGAAGTGGTAGAGCACGTTGACCGCTTCACTTATTTGGGAAGTACTAACAGCCACCGTCAACGGGTTGATCTTTGACGAAATCTCAGCACGGATACAGAGGGCTAGTTTCGCATATGCCAGTTTACGCCGTCTGTGGCGTAGACGTGATATCCGGGTATCGACCAAAGGGCGGGTGTACTGGTCATCAGTTCGCTCCATCCTCCTTTATGGCTGTGAGACCTGGCCACTGAGAGTGGAAGACATGAAAAGATTAGCTGTCTTTGGTCATAGGTGCCTGCGTTCTATCTCCCATGTGAAGGTGTATAATAAGGTGAGCAATATTGAGGTTAGGCGTCGAGAGCTAGGTGATCTGGAGGGGAAATCAATCGACGAGGGTGTGAAATTACATCGACTGAGATGGTTAGGACATGTGTTACGCATCCCTGACTAGGAAGATGTAGACTTTCTGGTTGGGGTCCTCGGACGGTAAAAACCAATTACTGGAAACAATTGGTGATATGACTCAAAATCGTTCTCAATGGCTGGCTCAGATGCATCCACTCCTTGTGATTTATGATTTCCAATGAAACTCTATTGTTCTTCGTTATTACTATTCCTTTGTCTCACACCTCTTGTTTACTGTCTGTATTATGCATTTCTTCTGTTGCTTTTTGTGGTACATGGAGGGAGTGTGGCGACTTGAACTGCAGCACATATGTGCAAAGTTTTATGTCTAAAACAGACAGACAAGGACCTGTTGTTCAACAAAGATGCAGGAGAAGATGGAGATAGATTGGGCATACGTTGAGGAGACCGTCGAATGACATCGCGTGCAATGCAGGCCATCGCTCGAATGGAATCCCAATGGGAAGCGAAGAGTGAGTCGTCTTAGGGTGACATGGAGAAGATCGTTTTGGGAGGGTGAGGAGGAGATGCGAGATTATGGACAATCGTGAGACCGGCTAAAGAGGGCAGCAAGAAATCGAATGAAGTGGGGACGTGCTGGTGAAGCCCCATATTCAGAAGATTTCCGAACTGACTTTAGATTGATGAGGGTGTATCTTTCCGATTCTGGCTTTGGATATTAGTCAGACTATAAGCAGTTACTAGCGTAGTCTACTTCTCTGAGACCATGTTGGTGGTCTGAGGGCGAAGTTTTACTGCTGGCGAATAGGTATGTAACGTCAATAAGATTGTTTACCTCAGGTGACCAGCAAGCTTACTATGCTTCCTCCGTGTATACCTCAGCTTACCTTGCAGTGATCTGTAGCATGTAGTGACATGTTCATATATAGACACAACTCCGAAAGTTGACGCAAATAGGCCGTGTCGTACACTGGCCCCAAGAAGAAGTTATCTCCCGAGCTCTACAGTCACGCAACCCTAATTCACCTCTTTCGGATATTTGAAGGAGAAATCAACTTCCACGGTGTTGGTCCTCGGTAGGTAATAACTACCCACATATTTCCATAAACACACATTTACCTTTATCTTCCTACCTCCCACACACTGGAAATCTGATTTCCTAGGTAGGTTTCTTACTCTCTCTTGACCTTGCAGCTATTTATAGAGATCACAGCCGAAGGCACACTACTGATTATATCTAAAACCGTGCTCTCAACACCAGGACCCATGCTAAGTCGGACAACAGGCCTCACTAACCAGGATTCTGGCATCTCAAACTATGGATGTGTGTCGTGTTTCGGAGACACGCATACTGCACCCAACACCGTAAATCTTCAGAATTCACTTTACGGCTGTTAGGAGGTCCTTTGGCCAGTTCACGTGGTGGTATGTGTGCTGTCTGGCTGAATGGTTCCATTTAGAGAAGAAAAGATTGTGATACCTGTCGACGTCTTTTCATGGTTCCCGCTTACGCTCAACCGGACAAAGTAAGAGATGAGTTTTGTCAAAAGCTGCCTAGTTTATTCCTGAAGCCAAAACACCTTAGATATAGTAATTCTAGTAGGCAGCCTCAATGCTCAAGCAGGGGAGCTGTGGCTGCCAAAAAGTATATTGATGGTGCTTATGGATTTCGATGCTGATGAAACAAAATTGGTGGTCGTCCTTTAAAATCTTCGGATTATCATCTGTTCCTTGTCCATAATAACTTTAAACATAAGGAGAGACAATGCTTAAGCTGGCGACTTGCACCGCCAAACCAACGATGTCTAACTGACTGACTGGTTTCAGCACAGAACTTTGTACCGATGTGCATCAGTTCGAGTCGTCATGTAGCACACAAAGCAAGAGAGGAAAGTAAAAAGAAACACGAAGTAAAGACAGTAAACAGAGATATGAGGCAAAAAGAATAGAGGTATCGAAGATCAATATAGTTTTGTCGGGTATTATAAGTCACAAGGAGTGAATGTATCTGCACCAGCTATTGAGAACGATCACTTTGAGCCATGTCACCGATTGTCTCCAGCCAACGATGTATTCAAATACGGGAATGTAGTGATAAGCTATAGATAGAGAATACCGGTAGAAGACTGACGCTCCCCTAAGGAACGCCTGCGTAGACACATATCACACACCAGTTCGTGCACGTATAGGCATGTAGTTGAACGGATATAGGAAACAAGCAGCTATGTACACCTAACACGAGAACACAAAATCTTTGTCTTAGGAGGAAACAGTGTGTTTGAAGTTGACAATAAGACTAATCCGCCGAGAATTCTGTCATATAATATCCCGTTAGCTGCAGAAACACTGGTACAGGCTGTTGATAACCTGAAACCAAAAGTTAGTAAGCACCAGTGGATTTTGGATACTTCATTTGAACTGATTAATACAAGGAAGTTGATACTGGCGGTCTCTGAATATGACGAGAAGCAAAAGATGCTCAAATGCAAGCTGACTAAAGGTCTCCTCAATGACGGTGATCAGTGATGGACGATAAAATTGAAAGACGTAACACCAAACCACTTATTGTAAAAAACTAATCATAAGCCAGACAGTTTCTCAGAAGGACAGTCCTTTCATCACGTCTTAGGACCGCCATTTTGAGCATCAATTCAACTTGCCTACTGCCGAGTTTCATTTGTCCAGCATCCTGTATAGAATGTAGATATCTGTCCTCCAACCGTAACTGAGTTTTCAAAAGCTGTCTGCAATCTGAAACAAGGCTAAACAGTGGGACATTATTATTGTATCACTCCAGAGAGGTATTCAAGGATGTTGGTGATAAATTACTGCTAGTATTAACTAAGATATTAGGTAATATGTGTGGGAATTCGAGGCTGGTGTCAATCATTAGTCATCCCAGTGTATATATACGGAGGGAGGAGACAAGTATTCCTCTGTTGCTAATCGAAAGGAGGTCAATGGGAAAGAAGGACAAGAACCAGTAGGAATGAAGTTTTGAAGCTGTGTGAGTACAGCTGATTCCAATTCAAAAAAGAATAAATAGTCTGCAAATAGTTATGTAATATATATTCATTCAATAAACACATTATGATATGGAATTGCATAAATACCAGAGTGAACAAGTTTTACACATATGTCGAAAAATCTATTAAGCATATTTCAAATGACGTTCTAAATTAGCTTCTTTTTTGTGTAATTAATTCGAATTTAATGTGGTTCAGTTCAAAGAAATTCATATCTGTGATATTTTGGTAAAGACAATGATGAAAAGATACTTTCATGTGAATTGTGCTCCTTGAGTCTGTAAAAGTAGAATAAAAAAAGATAATCATTGTTTAGTTATATGCATAGGTGTGTAGATTGCGTCGGTGGTATAGCGGTTAGGACATCGGGGGTTCGATCCCTGACCGACTCACTCCCTTACTTCGCCAAGCCAGAAATAATGCTGGTAAAGAGGAAGGTTGGGCATGAGGCTAGCAACCCCATCCTGTAAAAGTAAACACTTCTACAGAAACTTCAAGCCACTAGCCTGAAACTCTATGTTCCACTGGGAAGTGTGAAGAAAAAATAAATAGGTGTGTATTTAAAAAACATCTGAAGCAATATTATGAAATTATGGTAATAGTGAATAGGCGTTTCACCCCCACCCCACTATTGCATTAATGCTTATACTGATCTTAAATTCATTGGACGCATACATCTTCATGTCATATTATTTAGATTATAA